AATGCAAATTTCCGACTTATATGCGATGACTCATTTTTCCGTCGTACTGTATCACAAATTTAATCGGATTACATCGTAAGACTTTTCAAAATGGATTTGTTATTACAGATCAAATTGCATATGATGTTAAATCAACTCGTTTAAAATTAAACGAAAATATGAACGTATATGGCCTCCACTTTTGTACGTATAAGCCATTTCTTTGCATTCTATACGACTTGTTTGTTTGTATATATGTTTGTATATCACGAAAACAACTTTGAATATACGTGCATTCTGGTTGTCTGGGGAGCAAACGTTTGTCATAAAGACCCAATCTTGATACCCGATCCAGATTGGAACTGAATAATAAACGAATTCGCTAAAAGTCAGTTCAATGACTGGCACACTCGACACCAGGGATGGAAAATCATTTACATTCATTTCGAGCATTCATTTACATTCATTTGCCTCTAACTTTTTTCATCAACAGAATACAATAAAATGATGTATGAAGCTTTTGTAGCTTTTGATATTAACTACTACTTATGCCAATAACTAAAATCTGAATCTCTTATGCATGATGAAATAGAGCTGGCAGAACATGCTATTGTCTTTCAGTGAATGCAATTTAGATTCACTGAAAAACAATGGTGGGTTCTTATTGCTCTGATTCATCATGCATAAGAGATACAGATTTGAGTTGTTTACAAAAGATGTAGCTTATATCAAAGCCTACAAAAGCTTCGAACACTATTTTACGGAATTCTGTTGATGAGAAAAAAGTTGAAGCTTAATATGTGTGCAGAGTGGCCACCCCTTGACCTCGGACGATTGAATTTCAGGATAGGACTGATACTTTGCTTGATGGGAATAAGTGACTTGATGTTGTTTTCACATTTTCATGATCAAAGTCCGTAAACCTGTAAAACTATATGAAAACTCTACAATTATATTGTGATCAAAAATGTCAGTTACATGTGAAAAAAAGTAGCCATTGACAGTCGAAGTTACGAAGTGCAATTTCCATATAAATATTTGAAAAATCATAGTAAATTTATTAATATTTTTTTCAGGTTAAAATCTGTTGACAAGCAGACCTTTAACTTGAACTATGGATGATTAAATTCCAGGATGGGACAGATATCAAGCTGAACATTGCATTAGGTCCTAAGTAACATCGATCGATTCTCTTCGTCGACTTTCTCTTTCGTTAATAACTTCGTTGTTTTACATGGCCTTGGGGATACAAAGAGAAAGTCGACGAAGAGAATCTCTCAATGTTATTTAGGACCTAATGCAATGTTCAGCTTGATATGCGATTATTTTGTTTTTAATATTTTGATGTTGTGTTCACGTTGTTCATGATCGAAGTCCATAGTTTTATCAACAATCAATACGAAACTAACGATTTTAAATTGGCTCACTACTTGACTAGCCTAGTGGTCCCAAGCAAATCGACTAACGTACCCCATTCTAGTATAAATTCCAGTACTACACTATGTTTGTTTTGATTCACTATGAAAGTGTGACAGATAAAATGAGGGGTTAGTGGATTTTCCTATGTTTCGAGGGGTGAATCGATTAGCTTGGGGCTGAAGATAGTACCAACAATTAATATGAAACTATCGATTTTAAATTGGCTCACTACTTGACTAGCCTATTGGATCCAAGACAAATATTAACGTACCCCATTCTACGTTAATATTCTACTACTTCACAATGCTTGTTTTGATTCGCTATGAAAGTTCGACAGATAAGGGGTTAGTGGATTTTCCTAGGTTTCGAGGGGTGAATCGATTAGCTTGGGACCGAAGATAGTACCAGAGCTGAGCCAAAAAGTTGAGCTCGTTTCTTCGGGACCTTCTGGTCTTAGAGTTACCTCTATGGTGTTATCACATAATATGAGGGGGTTAGAAGGAAAGGGGTGTAATTGACTTCGATCGATTCTCTTCATCGACTTTCTCTTTTGATAGTAACAGCTTTATAAACAGATTTTGCGCTATTTCTGCCAAATAGTTCGATAAAGGAGGTTCGCATCTAGCATCCAGAATGGCACACGAATCAAGGAATGTGTTTGCAGCTGAATTATTAACGAAAGAGAAAGTCGATGAATAGAATCGATCAAAGTCACTTACTAATCTAATCTAATCTAATCTAATCTAATCTAATCTAATCTAATCCAATCTAATCTAATCTAACACCAACACAGCCAGTTCTTAAAGGATCCTGGAAAATAATGGATATACCTCCATAATTTTTCTTGTCTATTTGAAATATGTTGCACATCGAAGATGCGTCACATATATCAAAACGGCCAGGCCTACTGTGCAGTATTTAAGGGGCAAGATGATTCAGAAAACATCGGGCTTGTTTAAATCGAAGATTTAAACACGATGCTTCAGAATCCAATAAATGGATGAAACGTGGACATCTCGTACCGTACGTTCGGATTTTGGTAATTATATGATTGGTTGGTTGTTGGAAGCATCAAAGCTAGAAAGGTTAAGTGATGCTCCATTTTCTTCTGACGGTTGGCACATGAGCACTAATTCTTGTCCCAGCCTTTTATGGCTTATGGCTATAGTGCCATTACTCGCTTTCTGAAAAGAGAAGACGGAAAGGAAAAGGAGAAGGACAAAGGGAAAAGGATTATGTAAACTCTACGAACATAATCAATATTTTTGATTTGAAATATACAATATAGAAATGCATAACAACGGTGGTAACTACCCGAGTCTTGTCACTATTATCAAGTCATAAAAAGTAACAAGCACTAAAATGTAATCCTTTCATTACTGGAAAATCCTGATACCCTAGTTTGATGTTGTCACGACTAGGGTTCGGTTGTAGATCTTATACAGTTCTTGTTCGCTAGCTGGGCTAAAAGCGCAGTCCAGTTAGCGAATTCCACTCGCTAACTTGGCTGACTTGTCAAACGTCGAAAAACGCTGAGGGGAACTTCGATGAATTGTTTGATCGACGTTACAAAATTTAATGTGCATTGAATTGAAGCAGTGTAAAGTTTGTTATTGTTATTTTCACAGCATTCAATTTCGCGAGTTTAGAAACGCATTAAAGTCCTGATTTCAGCATGAAATGAAAAAAAAAAACAAAAATTAAGTTTATTTATATTAACACTTAATATTCCATTCGAATGCCCCTCAATAATTTTCACAATGAAATGTCAACCTAAGAGCAACCGTAACGGTCGTTGTCATTTGCGCGACTATTTTAACAGCGCACAGCGCTCTCATTTTAGTTTAGACACTCTTCTCCACACCGGTCGCTGCTATCGCGGTTATCAATTTACTCGCCTTTGTCCGTACCGGTAGTGAGCATTTTGACATTTCTACGGATAGCAACCTTTCTCCCGCGCTGCTATCGCGCTGCTAAATTTGGTAGCGCGCTTCTCACCGAGAAGCCGACTGCTATTTTAGTTACTCGTATGGCAACCCCCGATACGGTAGCTGCGCTATGATGAGGGCTGCTAAAATGAGTTTAGCAGCGTACCGTTACGGTTGCTCTAAATGTGACGTCTATTTTTGACGTAAGGCATACTTTTTAACTGGGCTACAGCCCAGTTAGCAAAGAAGTACTGTACCAGTAACGCACCACCAAAAGGTGATCGCCCAACTTTACTGGTTTGAAAAGATAAAAATTTACAAAATGGAACGAACTCACCAAGTTTAGCCAATTGAACCTGAAGGCTGCTTGACATATGTTGATGTATAAGTCCAAATTGTAGACGAAGCTTGACGAAGTTTAACATGAACTAGTCCGGTTTATGGTAGTTGCGCGGAGTGTCTTCCATCGATTTGAGATAAACAAATATTCGGATGTATGTAGTCGATTCTTGATGTGCATTGGCAAGCCTTTTCGTGGCCAATAGTCAGGTTCAACGCTGCGACTCAACGAATGATGGTGCTAATGATGGGACGAATGATGGGACGCTTTGTAGAGGTTCTACTTGTCTTCGGAACAGCTTCTCAGCGGCAAATAATAGGGACTGAGGAACTAGAAATTGTCTCCTGGGCCTGGTTTTGGCCAGATCAGCAACCGAACAAATGTCAGGTTCGATCACACGCACAGCCTCAAATCGATCAAAGTCACTTACACCCCTTTCCTTCAAAAACCACTTCATCTGAAAGTAGAGGCCAATTGATAGTGGATAGCGTTGTTATGCCAAAATTGACGAAAATCCATATGGGATTCATATGCGATTGTAGGCAGTTTGAAAAAAGTACCTGACTGAGAACTGTTGGTGTACAATCTTTAACATTCACTAAATTATGAGGGGTAACTTTCGTTTAACTTTAGCACAGCTTCAAATATATTGCCCAATGGAAAAGAGTGTTTAAATACCATCGTATAAATGATAAGCAACCTACGTAGGTTGCGCACCTCATCGTTCGTTATCGAGAATAATGTTCACCGGAGTGTCGTCTGACATTCTTACGACGTACCTGTGAGTTTCCGCAAAGCCGATTTGGTAATCACCCAGCGTCGGTTCCTATAGGAGAACGTCTTACCTCTTGCAGCGTCGCTGATTGAAGATGAGGCCCGAGCCAACGGTTGTCCAGTCCGTGAAATACCAACCTCCGTGTCTTCGGTATGTGGACTTGTCTCAGCATGTGCCGAATGTTCAGCACACTTTGTACTTTTATTGTGCACCACACAGCACCCAGCCCACCGTAGTCGACCGAATTATGCAGTGTGGACGATGGATGGTTCTCCCAGTAGCAGGTGCAATTCGCGGTTCATTCATCTTCTCCATGTTCTGTCTTCCATCTGCGCTCCACCGTAGAGGGTAAGTAACACTTTTTGTTCAAAAACACCAAGTTGGTCCTTCACGACCATAGTCGATGTCTCTTGACTATAGAGGAGACCGTAAGTCCGAAATACCGGTTTCATTAATCAAGAGTCTTAAACAACCATCGAACAGCTAAAAAATAAAGAAGTATAGGTTCTTGAAAAGGATGTGATACACTCATCTACTAGTTACCGTAGCCGTTTCGACGTTTTTTTATAAAATATTTTTTAGCGTACTATTTAATATTATGTAAATATTACAATTATATTTTGATTTTCAGAAGGATGCTTTTTTTTTCGATTTCAAAGTCCGTAACTTACCGTAAGGTTGTTGTTGTTGTTGTTGTTGTTGCAGTACAGAGTTCATATCTAGAGCAAAATGTGCTTCTCGTCGGAGCTAGCTACGCGATATACGTCAGCAGTATTTAGGTATAAGTAGATGATAGAGAGTATTATATTTAAATACGTGTGTGTGTCTGTGTTTGTATGTTGTATATAAACCGTTAAATACGCGCTTCCGGTTCCGGCGAGAATATTCCACCCCTCAAGGCTCAAGGATGGCAGTTAGTCGCAAATGGCAATGGAACATTCTCACGCAACGTCACACGGCTCTTGGAGAAACCTTTTTTTTTTATTATTATTATTTGTTGAGAGTTGATTTCTATGGTTGGACTTTTACTATGTTTGTTTTAAATATAAGATCCCCTATAAATAAGCTTGCATGTACAAAAAATTGTGAGCGTTTGCAAATTGAGCTGCACAACGAAGCCATTCTAGAATAAGCGTGTGATATTTGTGTTCGTTTCTAATATACTTTATCATTCCTAGATCAATTCAAATATAAACTGCGCTTAACAAGCTAACGTGTCTTAACTAATCGATAAAATCTTCGCACATCACAAAACATGTTCCCTTCAACTTTCAACTGCGCTCGTCGTCTTCGTCCGTCAACTCTATAAAGGTACACCGTTAAAAACAATCACTTTCTCGCTTGCCTTGGGATTTTTGGCCACATTCAGCACAGTCGTTCAATTCATTCTCCTAAACACCTAAACTTGTCCCTATAAACAAAACTCGGTTCTCTGTCTAGCTAGCAATCAAATCTCGATCCACTTGTTCGTTGTCCCGAATAATAAAAAAAAACATTTGCAGCAACTCAAAAGAAGTTAAAATTCAATAAATTAAAACAACGAGAATTTTTTGTTTAGAAAAAGCTCGGCAACGCAAGTCTACGGCTCGCATGATCCCTCAAGTCTTGGCAGCAAGCATTGCCACCGATGAGCAAAAGTACGCTTTGGGTCGTCGTCGTCGTTTTGTGGGCCTACTTCCACCGGCGGACCCGTCCGGTTTGCTGTTGTTGTTGTTGTTATTGCAAGAAAGACAACGTTGCGTTTGTTTCGACCGAGCCGCGTTTGACCGCGCTGTGATCCTTCTTCGCTAGTCCTTGGCACACATCATCAGGGCGTCCACCACGGTGTAGATCTCGTCAAAGTGCGGTCGATTCTCCGACTCGTAGGACCAACATTTGAGCATCAGTCGGTACATCTCCGGTGGGGTATTGTCCGGCGCTGGCATCCGGTAGCCCTCGTCGATCCGCTCACGGGCGCGGGAATTACTCAGGCCCGAGTAGGGCGTGTCCCCTCGGCTGAAGATCTCCCACACCAGAATGCCGTAGGACCACACGTCGCACATGGAGGTGTACTTGCCGAAGTTGAGTGCCTCCGGAGCGGTCCACTTGATGGGGATCTGCTTCATGCCACCGGACACTGAAAAGAAAATGGAGAGGGGTTTTATGGGGGGGATTCTAAAGTGGGGGTTGGGGAGGTGGCAAATTACCAATGTATTCTTCTTCCTCGCGGGACATTCCAAAGTCGGAGATTTTGACGATGTTTTCGCTGCCGATCAGACAGTTTCTCGCCGCCAGATCCCGGTGGATGCAGTTCTTCGACTCCAGGTAGCGCATTCCTGAAAAAAAAATGTGATTTACGGATTGCAGAAAATCTCAGTTGTACAAATTCTACTAATCATCAAGTAGTAGGAAGATTTCCACAGATAACTCTACTGTCACTGCTTTCGCACGGAACACGATGCCTCCGGTAAAATGCGTAACGGCAAATTGGCAATGTTTGAAAAATTATTGCTCAGCAATTTATTGATAGATTTGTCTATTGATACCGAATAAATTTTTAAAGTATGTGGTTTCAAATAATACCAATGGATTTGAAATTCGTCACTTAATGGCTGAGCTATGTTTCTTCAAACCTTGCAGGTTTGCCGTTACACATTTTACGGGAGGCATCGTGTTCGGAGTGTTAAAGAGATATTTCACTGTTTAGTTAATCCAAACGGACACTAGCGCCGCCAAGCGGTAGATTTATGCACTTAAAACGAATCTTACTCGAAGAGTGGACAATTTTTACTCATTCGTATGGAGCGCTGAGTGACATACGCTTTTAGTAATTTCTCGAAACAAATGAGTAAAAGTGACTCACTTTTTGAGTTAGTTTCGTTTTCAGTGTGCATTGAAACCCCAATCAGGGCTAACAAATGTAATTTTTGATTAACGATTTCATCATTTAGATCTGAACCTCTTCAGCCAGATTTGAAGACATTTGAAATCCCGTGAAGACTTGTCTTTTCCACATGCATTTTGAAGACATTTCATGTTTTGTGAAGACTTTTTTGAAGACATATAAAGACATTTCGACAGTGAGCATTCATAAGGGCGTATACGCGATGATCGATTCTCTTCATCGATTTTCTCTTTTGTTAATAACTCGTTAGATTTAACGTTTGTCGGTGCGTTTGCTGTTGCCTTTAATAGACAATACAACCTGTTACAACTCTACATTGAACAAATTCTACAAAATTGTTTCGTTTAGCTGTAGAAATGCAAAAAGAAAATCGATGAAGAGAATCGATCATCGCGTATACGCCCTTATGCATGCTCACTGTCGATTTGGAAATTGAAGTAGATTTTGGCTTCATATTTAAAGTAGCTTCTAGACAATATTTATTGAGAACAGGGGCGTAATCAAAATTTTTTTTTGAGTTCAAGTTATCATAGAACCCTAAAATGCTAAGAAGAGCAGTTACAGACCAAATAGCAACAACAATTTTCAACGCCACGCGCCAAAAGCACTGCTGCTGCTGATGATGATGATGATGATGACGACGGACCGGATACCATCAAGGCCCAAACGCAATGTGGGCGGAAGCGGAACGGAAACGGAAAGTTTGACAGTTGTCACAAATGACATCAAGATGCCTAACCGAAGTCGATTTGGTTGTGACTAGTTTTCAATCCGACATGTAGGCTTACTCAGATCTGGCTTTTCCGCTGCCGCTGCCGTTCCGCTTCCGCTGCCATTGCGCTTGGGCCTTCACATACGGCGATTTAATAAGTACCGTGTTACGTTTAGTTTAGTTTATGTTAGAACAGTTCAGTGCTAACATTTGAAAACGGCGCAAAAGCCATTTGTAAACAAATGGTTTGTGGGCCCTTTACTCGCTACCCGAAGAACGCCCACACAAACCAACAGCATCGTCAGGAAGGGGAAAATTTCCCCTACCCGATGTTGCTGTTGTGTCGCGTGGGTGTACTTCAAGTAGTGAGTAAAGGGCCCACAAACCATTTGTTTACAAATGGCTTTTGTGCCGTTTTCAAATGTTAGCACTGAGTTCATAGTTAAGGAAACTTTCCAACAAAAAACACATAGGGAAAAGATTCAGTGTAGGCCAAGAGGTGTAATTAAATGCTGCATGAGTGCATTGCTTGACAGCCACCGTACACCGCTAATTATTTTGCTGCTGAATATCATCCGTAACATTGGCTTCCGCTGAAAGCAAATGACAGGAGAAAGCAAGCAATCACGCAGACTGGCAAAAACGTTTGCTTGTTCCGTACCGTGCTCGGGTGTTTTCGTCTCGTGCGGGGAAACAATCGGTCGGTGGTCCCAAAAGCGGGCAAAGTGGAATCGAATTGGTACCTTGACCGTTCGCCGGACAGTGACAGGCAGAAAAAGTGACACCAACTTCGCACGGGCAGAGCCATATTGGGGCTACCTGATTGAGGTGCAGTACAGGCACGAGAACGATCAAAATCCGATCGGATTAGTTCGATCTATCGGAACTTACGGAGCGAACACGGGCGGAGCCGAGAGGTGATTCGGAAGTTTTCCCCATTGTTTTGCGAATTCACGGGATTGGCTCTAGCACACGCTCAAAGACACGCAGCGCATTGTCAGTGCGCAGGCTTAACACGCCACTTGAATTCCGAGAGAAACTAGCAACCAGAAAGCTCTTCTGATTTTCCTGCGCGCCGGAGAACGGTTTGCACAGGACGAGGATCGAGAGTCCGCGCGTGTGAGCAGAACAACGGCTTACGGCTGTGAGTGGGACAAGCATCGGGCACAACCGGGACAGAGCATCGTGCACTGACCAACCGGACGGAAGTGACGTGTGATTCACGGAAGGACGGCAAAGGCAAAAGCGTGTTGGCTACGAGTACCTACGTACACGGTCGAGACGAAGAACCGTGCGCACGTGATCCAAACGGGAAGCCAGCGGTAGAATCCAAGCTGGAACCCAGCAGTTCTCTGGTCGAGCCCATGCATCGAAGTCGATAGAGCCCCGTAGAGAACAATCCGCTCTCATGTGCAGCAGCAAGGTTACCCTCGGCAGCTTCAGCAGTAGATAGATGGGCCCATCGTGAGTAGAACTTTCATAAACGTAAAGTTAAGAGTACAAGGACGAAACAGACTAGAGAAGATGAACAGATAAGGAAGTGGTAGGAGGCAAGGAAGAAGGAATAGGGGAATGTGGGGTCAAGAGGAGGTGTGAATAAATAAGTTAAATGAAGTTCAATACCTCTTTATAATTTGTTTGGTGCAAAAGCCTTTTGTGTTCTAGTTTTGGGTATCCTAGGTAGTCACGCTCTATCGTCACTTGGGAAATCTGGAACAACCGTTCGGCGAGACCGGGTGGTATTCGATTTTGAAATCTGTGTTAGGGAAAGCGCTTTTTGCAGGTTGTTAACGTATTAGAATTTGCATTAAGTTTTGAAGCTATTTGTATTAAGTACAAGCTGATGACACAACTAGTGAGTAATCGCACGTGAGCGTGCACAAGCAATGATGCTGCATGGGCCTTAAATTGGAAACGAACCAAACAACGAAAACGTCATCGACAGCATCCGCTGACAACGCTTCCGACACACTATAGACCGGCATGCGAAGCAGAGAAACCGGCAGAGCAAAAGTTTGCTTGTCCTCGTCCGAATAGCACGCGAAACGGCGTGGTTTGTAGTGCCGTGTGAAAATTCGATTGTTCGAATTCCATTCGTTGTAAGTGCTGCTGTTGGAGATCGGAGTTATTTTTCTTCGTGGTGCGGATTGCCGTGGTCCGATAGCACGCAGGAAGTGCGTGGGGAAAAGCCGTTGTTCGGAAGACCGTCCGAGTGCGCAGTACCAGGTAACCTGCAATAGCCGTTTTCCAAGCAAACCGAAACTGCCGTGCTTTGGAAACTCATCTTCTCGAGAGTGGGTGTTAGGATTGCCACGCAGATCGAGCCGAAATGCGGATTAAACAGAGGGATTTGACGACTATGGAGAAGAAATTAGTCCAGGAAAATGATGATAATCAAATACCAAAATTAACACGGGGATTTCGATACAGCTTCGCGTCACACGATCGGCACACACCAGTGCACGGTTCTTGGAGGGAATTGCTCGAAATCGGTCGTCGACAACCGGCGAGAGAGCGAGGAACTACCCTACCTCTGGAATACACGGTAAAGTGACTACAGTTAAGATTTATGCGGTGCTGCAACTAACAATGTGTCAAACAATTACACAGATTGGGAATCGGGCACCTTGACAAGAGACACGTGATTGCGGGGCGGGTCGCTTTGTGTTTTGCAGGTTCGATTATCCCATCGATTCGGAGTGGCGCAGACGAAGGTTATTCGATCGACAGGGCACGTTTCGGCTTTGCAGCCATCTTTCGAGGGCAGTCTATGAAGCTGCACGTACGATGGTCAGGAACACCGTTGCCAAGCGGCTGACCAGAAAGCGAGTTTCTTAACAACCGCCAAGAGGCGGTCACTTCGAGGACGAAACGAAGTCGTGGCCCTTCGCGGGACTGACGCAGCATACGCAATCTGTCGGACCAATAGTTTCGAGTGACACCCAACGAAGCAGGCGGACACGACGGATGGGAAGTACCCAAGGGTTCGGCGTCTGATTGCTGCGATTCATCGAAAAGCGAGCGGCGGTAAGGGTGCACCCGGCCGGTAACAGTGAGTACTCACAAGAAGAGAAAATATGATTGGAAAGATAATAGGAGACACCAAGATGCCGTAAGAGCAGAATAGTAAGGTAGTAGAAAAGTAGGAGGAAGAACAACTCCAATGTAAGGGACCAATGGGGGGATTCAAAACATAAGTATAAAAATGCATTTGGAGTTCATTTTTGGATTTGTTGGAACCTTTGCCCTTTCGCTTTACCGTTACAGGAGCACTTGCAACAAGGGAAGGTGATAAGTTTGATCACCATTGCAACAGTTGGACATTTGTGTAATTTTCAATAGTCATCTATTGAAATTTTATAAAGTTTTCATTCTAGCAGATTCTTAGAAAAACTTCCAATCGATTGACTTGTTTAGAATTAAAATCCATCCGCTATTTACAGAGTTATAAGTGGTCAAAACCTAACCACTTTTCGTAACGCGGTCGATTTGGGTTTTTTTTTTAAATTGCACGCCCAATATGTTGCCGAAAGACGTAATCCTACGTCAAAAAATGCGACACACAAAAATGGTCGTCGAAAATTCTGTTTAATGTCGATTCTCTTCTGACTTTCATGAAGTAAAGTATGACATTATGATTATGTTTCAACATCATTACTTTATTGAACCTCTTCTCCATATCAGCCCACCCCTTTGACTTGACACTGCTCATTAGATTTTGGGCAATGATGGCAGGCATGGAAAATCATTTGCATTCATTTCGTGCATTCATTTACATTCATTTGCCTCTAACTTTTTTCTTCAACAGCATTCCGCAAAATGATGCAAAGAGCTTTTGTAGGTTTAGCCATTAGTTACAACAAGTCAAATCCGTATCTCTTATGTATGACGAAGCAGAGTGGACAGAAGCCACTACTGTTTTTCAGTGAATGTATTTTTCATTCACTGAAAAACAGTAAGAAGTTCTGCCCGCTTTAGTTCGTGATGCATAAGAGATACAGATTTGAGTTATGAGCAAAACTTGTAGTTAATAACAAAACCTACAAAAGCTGTATGCACCATTTTGCGGAATGCTGTTGGTGAAAAAAGTTAGAGGCAAATGAATGTAAATGAATGTATGAAATGAATGCAAATGATTTTCCATGCCTGAATGATGGAGCCTTGCTTCGACGGTTTCAACCACTCTTTCTTTAAATCCATTTAATTTTCCAACACCTTAGGGGTTTTGCGGAGTTTTGCCTTCATGATAGCCCAATATTTCTCAATTGGGCGAAGTTCCGGCGTGTTCGGAGGGTTGACCTCTTTAGGTACAAAACCAACATTGGCAAAGGTCCTCAGAATTACCCTGGAAGCATACCATAGAATTCGGTTGATGTTCTCCTCTGAACTAAAATGGAATTCCAGTCCGAAGTCAGAGCCTACTTCTGTCAGAGCCAGACTACTTCTTAAAATTCCCTTTAAGTTCGCATCTAAATTCTTCAGAAATTCTTATGATAATGCCACGAATTTCCAGAATCATGAATATCTTCTTCAAGCCCATGAACCATGATTTTTTTTAAGATCCATTATATTTGTTTTCAAATCTGGGATCTTGGAAAAATTTCAAGATCCGACATCTGAATCTTCGTTCCAGAATCCTGAAAATTGATTCAAGCTTGGATTATTCTTTTTTAATTCGGACCTATACCATAGAGGTAACTCTAAGACCAGAAGGTTCCAAAGAAACGTGCTCAACTTTTTGGCTTAGCTGTGGTACTATCTTCGGTCCCAAGCTAATCGATGCACCCCTCGGAACATAGGAAAATCCACGAACCCCTCATTTTATCTGTCAAACTTTCATAGCAAGTCAAAACAAACAGTGTGTAGTACTGGAATTTATACTAGAATGGGGTACGTTAGTCGATTTGCTTGGGACCAATAGGCTAGTCAAGTAGTGAGCCAATTTGAAATCGTTAGTTTCGTATTCATTGTTGCTAAGCCCGTAGTCCTATCAGTGAAAGGCTTTCAGTAGTTGGGCTGAGCTGTCAAGCTGAAAATTGGTTGAGGGATACACCGATTGTTTATTATCATCACAATCCTTTACTGCCCATAAAAGCATAACTATCCCATATGAATAGGACATCAAGCAAAGATGGGACAATTATGCTTATATGGGCAGTTTAGCAACAATCCAAATTGTTCATACATGAGCCCCTCGAAAATGAATCAGCACAGTCAGAAATGACGTTTGACTTCGATTTAGGTTGGGTACAGATCAACTAACAGGAGCCCAACTTAAACGTAGCCCACTTAAACATAGTCCAACGAGCTAAATTTGACTGTATTAGGGGTAGCATTCCCCCAGTATTTCTCATTTATGATTTTCAGATTATTAATGACATCAATTTAAAAAATATATACAGTCGAACAGTGGCTAAACCTGTGAAAGGCTTTCGTTAGTTGAGCTGGTTGAGCAGTGCTGTCAAGCTGACAAATGGTTGAGGGATACACCGATTATGTATTATCATCCAAATCGTATAGCAACTTTCCAAATTGTTCATCCATGAGCCCCTTGAAAAGGAATCAGCACTGTCAGAAATGACGTGTGACTTCGATTTAGGTGGGCTACAGCCCAACTAATGGGAGCCCAACGAGCGATATTCAACTGCATAAGCATTGGGGCCCCTTTTTTCGATCTCGTTGAGGACTGTTTCTCAAAAACACCTGGCTGTGAACTGTGATAGGGGTACGTCGAGGTCAAACCCTAGGAGATGACGTGGTCAAGTAGAGAGAAATTGTAGACCAAATTCAATCGCATGACATGTGATCCAAAGTCCGGCAAGTCTCCGATTGACACTCAAAATAATTAATCTCTAAATTCAAAACCAACCAATTAAAAAGGCCTCAACTCCATTTTGTAAACAAACCTTGTAAAACCATTTTCTCGCGAACCGAAACCTACATTCGCAAACCGAAAACACAATCGGGTAGATGAGAATTTCCCCTTCCCGATCATTTTGCCGGTTTGCATTGGCGGACTTGTTCGCGACAAAATGGCCTTACAAGGTTTGTTTATAAAATGGAGTCGAGGCCGTTTCAATTGTTGGTCCTGAATTGGAATCACAGCTGACGACGGCGAGGAGGGACCAACCTGCTGCCGCATCGCGGCACATGGCCATCAGTTGCTTCTGCGTCAGGGTCGCCGTATTCTTGCGCAGGAACATCAACAGCGAACCGCCCGAAACCAGCTCCATCACGATCATGATCGGTTGCTTCTGGACGCAGATCCCGATCAGCTTGACAATGTTCGGATGGTCGTACTGCTTGAGGATTCGGCCTTCCTGCAGGAACTTCCGTTTCTGCTCTTCCGGTAGCGTCATCCGGCAGGTTTTCACCGCGACCAGCGTATTCTTCGACGACTTGAGCTTGGCTTTGTACACGTCGCCGAAGTTGCCCTGGAGTGGAAATAGACAGTTAGCATAGGGCTATTATAGGATATTCAATTCAGCACTACTTACCCTTCCGATCTTATCTAACAGTATCACATCGTCATTGCTAAGCTCCCATCGTTCCCTTAATACTGGTTTGCGAAGGACTGCTCCGGAACGCCCCGTGACCGGTAGCTCCGACTGGTACTGGTGTAGGATCAACTCCTGTATACTGGGAAATGCTGGACCTTCGAAGCGGTAGTGGCCCTAGGGAAACACAACAGGCATCAATTATCGATGACACTGAACAAGATCAGACCAGAACTCACCTCGGCCGTCGTCTGCACGATGAAGTGCTTGTGTCCGTTCCAGCAGACACTGAGCACGGTTTGGCTCTCGTCGTTGCGGGTCGTCTCCCGTACCAGGAAGTCGCCTTCGTTGCGCAGCAATCGGACAACCTCCTCCCGGGGGAGCACCCCGTGGAACCATTCCTCTTCGTAGAGCGGCCGGTTCGTCGATAGGGTCATCTACAAATGTCGCGTGCCGAAAAGAGAAAAGAGCAAATCGGGTATGCGATGAGAAGTGAGCATGTCTGCCAATTACATTCTCGGAACGAATCGTGATCGAAAGGTTGCTTGCTCTAGCCTAGCTAAACATCTACGAGAATAGAGGGACAGAAGCGACATACGGAGACCAATATGCATGCACATACAGTAAAAAGCAAGTTCAGAAGCAGCTGATGAGCAGCAGAGGAATTGTGGAAAAGGTGTGTGTGTGCGTGTGGAGGAGTGCGGAGGAAGCGTTCTTTGCGGGTAAATAACGTCATCTGTCGTGTGCGAACGACGAAGGATGAGGCTATATTTACACTAGTGCCAATATGTATGTCCATTCGAATGCGTCTACATATCTACCTACTGCTACTGACTGTTGTATGCAATGAGACCTACGCAAAAAGAGGAAATCGTTGTTTGGCGTTATTTGAAGAGACCTACTTTTTCTTTAGACTCTTTGAGTAAGTTGGAAATAGCTTTCATCGAACTACGCTTAGTGGATTATAATAGTAGAACTAACTTGACCAATACTGGGATTGTCTGGCGATTTGCACACCTGCTAATTAATGGCAAATTCCGTCTCAATGTGCTTCCTTGGCACCGAAACCTGGCGTGCATTGCATGAATTAATAAATCATTGAACTTCTGTTGGTAGACAGATTATTTGGCTTTGATCGTTAGCGTTACAGTCGTAACTTGATATAGGGGAAATGGCTCTAATGTTGGCCTATGGATCTAAGATTGGGCCCATCGCTAAAAATCTGCTATTTATCAATTTTATCTAGATGAACGCGTCATTGGGACGGTACTAATGGAAATTTTTGGTCGCTCTTGAAAATTTAGTCGATTGCTGAATTTATGGATGGGCCCAAATTAGGGGCATTTAGGCCGACATTACATCCATTTCCCCTACTATTCGATGTTTGATGATACGATACGATTGAATGCATATTATAATGCCGGTGGAAACATAACTGTTCCACGGTTATGCCTCCAGCGGCTGCATATGTAGGTAGGCTAAGGTGGGGCAAGATGGGTCATCTACCTAATTTATTAATTTTATTGAGCTTAATGTAGCCCCAATGATGGTTTGAAAAAGCAAACCATCATTGGGGTTGCATTGAACCTGATGATTTTAACAATCGAATAAATTATAAATATATTAGATAACCCATCTTGCCCCACCTTACGCAGTCTAGGGGCCTCAGATAGCCTAGTCAGTAAAGGTACGGTATTACCAAACCGGAGACGACGAATTCGATGATAGGGACTACGGTGTAGGGCCATTAGGCCGAATTACTCATTAGGCCGAATTTTGAAAAGTAAAATATCGAACTTAGAGTGAATTTCGGGAGTTTTTTGGAGGCAATTCCTTAAGTGTTCTACACTGAATTCCGAGACTGTTATGGAACAAATTTCTAAGGAATACCAAACAGCATTATAAGATTATTGAGAGTAATCCTCAAAACAAAAACATTTTACAATAATCGAAAGGAAATCCTTGATACCAGTGATGGCATAATCATTAGCAAATTGATATTGTCCCGCTCTCATACGATATTGGAGCAAAGTATCATGCTTATTAAAAACAGAACTTAAGGGCAGTGCTGCAAAATCTCGACAATACACGGCGATATTCAAAATTCTGCTTTGGTCACTCATTTGAGCTAACAGTCATCGTCAAGGCAAACCATGTCAATTGTCAGTGACAATGCTGTCAGTGACGAACATGTGCAGTTTTTGTTGTTAGCTAAATTTGTAACGAAATTAAGTGACATGAGCAAAACAATTACATGGTGGAGCCGTTAAAGTGAACAAGCATCTACGATCTGAACTGCTTGGATAACAATAATGTGACACAGAATGCACGAAATTACAGTTTTTGTTACCAGGTGAATGTGTCATTGACGAAAAAATGAAAGAGATTTTGACGAAGGCTTTTTTGAGGATCGAGTCAATCAGTGACTATGTGAAACACAAAAGTATGTCAATGACAATGAAAAATATCAGCACTGCTTGAGGGGAGCACGGAGACCGATTCCTTCAGCGGGACAAGCAATAACACCCGAAGTTATTTGGAGCTGTCACATGCTCAAAAGCTGAAATATTTACTTACAGCTTCGGTACGTCACTTTCAGAATCCTTTACAATGACATCATCTCCAGAGCTAATCGACAATTGGGCTTTATTTTCAAAATTGCCGACGAGTTCCGTGACTCGCTATGCCTCAGGTCACTCTATTGCTCGCTTGTGCGATTCTTATTGGAGTCAAGTTTAGTTGTTTGGTGCCCTTTCCATGCTAGCTGGATCACTAGAATTGAATCCATTCAACGCAAGTTTGTGAGATATGCTCTTCGTTTCCTCAACTGGCGTGACCCAACAAACTTGCCACCGTACGAGGAGCGTTGCCATTGTTCCTTCCTCCGTTCTTAGTAAAAGTATCCGAGATATCAAATACTCGTTGAGTCACGAGATAATCTTGTCATGTACTCTCAATTTTGCTAGTGTTGAGGTTGCTGAGTCGACTGAGTCGTACGCCATGCACACAACCAGAAAAATCACGAAGGCTTCTTGTGCTTCTCTTTTGCTTTGTGTATCAAGTTGACCACGTAGTTGATGCAAGTCGACGCCGAGACATGCTTCCGGAAACCAAAGAACAGTTCAGGGATTATCAAACCTGTTCTTGTTCGCAGAGTTTATTAGCTTGATATCGATATTCTTCAGGGTAATTGTTGTCATGCTGTTAGGGAAGTTCCAGTTTTCTTTGGGATTGGCTTGATCTCGGTGTACCTCCACTGATCCGGGATTTCCTCAGAAACGAATAGTCGGGTGAGCATTTCGTGGATATTTCTTTGCATTTTCGGATTTAGTTGCTTTATCACGGCATACAACATTCCGTTTGGTCCTGCAGCAGAATGGTTCTTCCGTTGTCGAAGGACGGATAGTATTTCCCCTTCCTTGATGGCCATCTCGTATCCTTCGAGAAAACGTTCGGTGGACACTACAGGCAGTGGTGGGGGAATTTACGTATTCTCGGCAACCTAAGGAGCGACCATCTTTCTGTAGCCTTTTTCTGTAAGGAACGCACACATATGCAGTATTGGCTTGTTTGAAATCTTTTGCTGCTAGCTGCTCTAACAATTTCAGTCGAAAGAATTGTCAAAAACTGTTTTGAAACGCTTCTACAAAGCTCCAATCTTCTCTAGTGAGAGCGACTATTGCGGGCAACATCTTTTTATTTGAGCTGCGTGTTAAACAGCTGTGCTTTCATCGGCAACTCGAAATCAGCAGCATTTTGTAGTGCGTGTGTTTCTATACAAGAAAACCCTGCTAGATTGCTTTTTCTCATTGATAAAAATATAATCAAATTGAAGCTGAAAGCCTAAAGAATCGTTAGAATGCATTCCGCGAACTGTTTTCGTAAGAAAATCCAGTGAAATTAGCGTTTCAATTTGGGTTGCCGAAAAAAGTCTGTCATGCCGCAGCCGTCATTTCCCCTATCTCCTTGTATCTTCCTTGGAAGTAGTGGTTCATGAAGTTTACCCCCTCTTCGCGGGTGATTTCGACTGACTGTTTGTGATTTCCGATCGATCTTCTCGGTCAACTCCCTGCCATATCTCCGCTTGGTCTTCCTTACTTCTTTCTTGAACAGTGCCCTTTCCTTTTTCAGCCGGATGAAATTCGAGGTTGTCTTCTATCGGTTGTACCATAGAAGTAGTAACTCTAAGACTAGAAGGTCCAAAAATAACGTGCTCAACTTTTTGGCTCAGCTCTGGTACTCTCTTCGGTCCCAAGCTAATCGATTCACCCCTCGAAACATAGGAAAAACCACTAACCCTCATTTAATCTGTCAAACTTTCATAGCGAATCAAACCAAACATTACGTAGTACTAGAATTTCGACTAGAATGGGGTACGTTAATCGTTTGCTTGGGACCAATAGGCTAGTCAAATAGTGAGCCAATTTAAAATCGTTAGTTTCGTATTGATTGTTGGTTGTACTGCCTGAGAGCTTCTCGCTTGCTTGTGTACAGTTTTGCTATCTCATCCGTCCACCAGGTTTTGAGGAAGTTTGCTTTCATATTTTTGAAGCTGAACGACTCTTTTTCTACCGCTTCGTTGAACACTGTAACCATTTCTTCCGAGGAGTATAAGAACTGCGGTCGTATCGTATTTAGCTGCTTAATAAGGACTTCTTTGTTGATCCGTTTTATCGTTCTTTCTACCTTTGGGATTTCATTTCTGATTTCCAGATGAAAGCTAATGTGTACACTTCCGAGTTCTTCCTCGTTCACTGACCAGTCCGGGGGACACCAGTGTATCGTCAATAGCTGAGCTTCTGCTTCCAGGTGGGGAGATCATCGTTTAACAGAATACAGAATATTTGACTCCCCGATTAAATCGCATAAAGCTCGATTCAAAGTAAATCTGGACGCACGGTTTAATACACCACCGCGCCCCTGGTGGTTGGAACAAAAAACGTTTGACAGACATTTGTTGATGTTTCATTGACGAAGAAATTGGTGAAAAGTTTTTCTCGATTGATCGACGTATCCCGAAATTGCGGATCATGGAACTTGAGAAAAGAAAATTAATTGTGCACAAAAATCTAGAGAACCCTTCGTGGTTTGCCTAAAAAATAGCAAAAGTGTTAAAATTCCCAAAGTCAACGGTGAGTCTTGTAATCAAACGTTGCAAGGATACTCTGAAGGGCCACGCACATTAGATCCGTTGGCGTTGCGTTGACGTAAATTTGACAGTTAGATAATAGATTTAGCTGTCACTTTGCGCAAAGCGTCCAATCCGGATCTAATCTGCGTGGGCCTTGAGTGTGGATAGACCACAGCGCATCTATCATAAAAGTGGCACTAGGGACAAAGAGCTGACGAGAAAGGTGTTGAGGTACGTGAAAAGCAACCCAGGTATCTCCATACGTGGTTTGGCAAAGAAATACGATTCCAACTTTTCCACCAAGGA